TTCCTGCTAAATATCCTTATCAGTCACTACTATTATGTCTTATATTTAAATCTGTTTACATACTGGGCAAACGCTATGGGGAGAACCATGTTTCCTACTATTATTCAACATCTATGTTCTCACCATTCTACTCAAGCCCCACTGGCCCCTCTACATTATTGTCAGTATTGTTTCCAGGCCATTCCATATGTTGTCTTTTCCTTACTTCCTTTCTTTGCTTTGGCTATTCAAGTATGATTTCTGCTTCAGCCCTTGGCAGTTCAAGTTCTCCTTGAAAACAACTTCTTCTATTCTAGGCCTGAAAAATCTCATCCCTTCACCACATTATCCTGAATTTTGGGTCAGGACCTCCGAATTAGGCAGCCAATTTTGCTCTTACTGTTCCACACATTCGTTTCCTTGTTTGTTTTCTCAAGCAGATTTTATACCTTTGATGGCAAAGAATTTATATTTTACACTCTGTTCCATTACAAAGGTTTGTGTACCACAAATAGCACATTAGTGATTGGTAAATAGGAGAATGGTATCATTAAAATTAGGTGGAAGGCCAGCTGGTTCACGTGTGAAGTGTTTCAGCATTTTAAGTTTTGACGTGATCAGGAGCCAGCTTTCTCACAATTAAAGAGAAGCCTTCACAATATGAAGACTTTCAGAAAAAAGGAAGAATCCTGCACAAAACTGCCCCTTTTTTGTGACTGGTTTAGTGATTTCAACAACCTCTAAATTTCCCATCACATTAAACTAGCTGGTGAAGCTGTGAGTACTGATAATGAAGCTGTGAAGACCTTTCACCGTGTGATTCTAAAAAGTTGGTCACTCCTCAATTAGATTTTTAATTCTGATGAAAATGGCATCTATTAAAAGTAAATGCCCTTGAGGATTCACACTGGGGAAAGAGGAAGCGTGAAGGCTACCAAGCATTGATGGCTGTGATGCTGGGTGCAGATGCCAGTGGAGATTCAACCTCCTGAGTGTTTTTATTAGGATGGTTATTGTTTACATTAGTGATCTGATTACAAATTTGCATTGGGTTTAAGTGACCTTCCCTAACCACGTTTTCCCCAGAAGCCCTGTTATTTTTAGTGTGCAATTTTGCAGAACAGGAGATTCTTCAGGAAGACATGTATGCCTTTAGAGCAGAACATCTGGTACTTTTTTATTCGCACGACATCTAGTTTGGTGTTGCCCATGTAGTATGTGCTTAATAAATACTTGTTTATTCTCAGGCAACTTTTAATTCATAAATATTTTTCCATAACCTTGGAGGTGTTTATTTCTTACTTTTGTCTAATCCATGTTGGCTTTAATTTCTCTATTAATGGCCCAGATTATTTAGAGGAGAACACGTAGCAGAAGGGAGACACAGAAAGCCAGGATGAATTGGGACTAACATATTCACACTAATATGTATAAAATAGATAAATAATGAGAACCTGCTGTATAGCACAGGGAACTCTGCACCACTTAGCTGTACAGTAGAAACTAGCAAAACATAGTAAAACAACTCTACCCCAATTGAAAAAATAAAAAGAAACATCTGGGGTAATGGATGGCTCTAAGATCAATTTGAAGAAAGAGCCTAGCAGCCTTTTATCTTTCTTTTTTCCCAGGGCTGGCTTTTAATGTTAACAGGGTGCTAAACTCATGAGAGGCCAGAGGGAGAGACTACAAGGTCAGCGGGTCTAACACACACTTTTGAAGTCCCAACTGATGGTAGTAGCCTTCTTCTTTCTGCAGCATCAGAGAAAAGATGTCTCTCCATCCACCGGCCTATTTGTGTGTCCCAGGAAGGTAAAAATAAAGAAATGTAGTGGGATCAGCCCTAGGACTGCACTTGGTAAGGTGCCTGGTTCATAATCAGTGGACAAAGTGTCCTTGCAGGGGACCAGTGGCTGCTTTTGTGTGTTAGCTTCCAAGAGAGGCCCTGATATTTGAAGGAAGGGGGTTGGTTGGTTTGTTTGTAATGACTGTTTACATTAACTGGAACAAAATGATGAAAAGAAAACAGCCAGAATTAAGATGGGGCTGAGATAACTACAATAAAGTCAAATGTAAGCCATCTCAGGGACAAACTTTCTCACTTTTTGCAGTACAGATTATGCATCTTTTACATGTACCTCTCATTTGACTTCAAATGTAGCTTCACCTGGCCTGAGGATGGTGAAACCCAGCCTTACACTCAAAATAATGTTGATCCATTTTCAAATATTCACACACTCAAAACAGAAGTCACTTGTATTACAATGCCTTCACCGCTTTTAAAACCAGACCAATGAGATCTACAAGTGGGGACCTTCATGATCTGGAAGCTGCTCATCTGTTCTGCTTCTCTTGCCAAGAGCAGCCCCTATCCGTCACCTCCAATTTCTTAACCACAGAGTCTCTGCACATGCTATGGTCATTTCCTATGCCTGGGATGCTCTTCACTCTCCTTTTTTGCCTTGTAATTGCTCAATACTTTTTTGTTTAATATCCTTCCCGATAGCCATAAAGTTCCACAAGAGCAAGCCACATCCGTCTTGTTCAACACTGGACCCTCAATGCCTAGCAGGGTATCAAACACTTAGTAGGCTGTCAACAAATACTTAGTGTCTTCAGTCAGACCCTTAAGACTCAGCTCAAACATCATCCTCTTTGGTAAGGTGTCCCAGAGTCTCTGGCACTCCGGTGGTGACCCCCATCACGTGCTCCGTGGGCTCCCTGTTCCTATGTGTTGCAATGAAGTGCAGTCATTAACAACTGGCCTCTCCCAGTAGACTAGGAGGTTCTAAAGGGCAGGACTGTGAGCTTCATCCTCCTAACCCACAGCACTCTGGATATCATCTGGTATACTCTAAGGAGCTCAATAAAGATCTACTGGGCAGATTATTAAGCAACATTTGAGCTTGGGGGATACTCAGCTATGGCTCACACCCACATCTCTCAAACAGGAATTACGTGAAAGCAGGGGATAACCAGGTCACATCTTACTGCAGCAACCACTTCTATGCCATTTTTCGGGGGGGGCATTTAAGTAATTCAAATCACACGTGAGTGAGTGTGTGTGTGTGTGTGTGTGTGTGTGTGTGTGTGTGTGTGTGTGTGTAGTGAGCTAAATTCAGAATATACATCAAATTTTAAGTCGAACAGGAACTTCAACAAAGCAAATTTACCTTGGGGCTCCTTGCCCACCCTGTCTGGGAGCATGTATTCCCTCTTCTCTGCTGTCCTTGGGTAGTTTACCATCTGCATGATTAAAAAGAAAGTTAATGACAATGGCAAAGCCAGGATTAAGACCGCTTTGAGATGTCTAACATTCTTTTTATTCTACTTTCCAAGTTAATTGCCTCATCACAATCACACCTACAGCATGGTCAAATTTATCCTAATGCACTCTCAAAAAATATGTTCATAAACATATTAGCTTCAGCATAGCAGAATTTATGTTGAAGGGGAGAAGGGCAAAAGGGTCATAGCCTGAAGATACCTGAATAACAGGCACATGAGCATGTTTATAGACCTGGTATCTAAATTTACATTTTAGGTATCTTCTCTAGATTGTATGATGGTGGTTCATTCAAGTTCTGCCCGGCCCCGCTAATGTTCTCAATGTGAACTTTATTTTTAAAGCCGCGTGGGCCTCTTCCTGACAACTGCAGGAGGAAAGATTACGAATACCAGCGGTGCCCTGTTGCTGCTGCTGCACCAAATCACCTAGCATTTGTCTAGAGATTTACATTTTTAACAAAGCTTTGACACACATGATCTTATTCGCTCCCCACAACAACTATAAACCTAAAGTAGCTCAGGAAACTGAAAATAGCACTCAATCCAATTGTTAGCTCTCCATAGGTGCTTTGGCTAAAGAGCCTTACACCTCCTTGGGATTAAGCAGTGGGCGCCTGCTGCTTCTACTACCTGGCAGCCTGGGAATAAAGGAACGACTGTATTTCTTTGGTCGCAACGCAATCATGGCAACAGAAAGCACCCACTCCTTCCACTTTCACCCGTACAGTCTGTCTAGGCAATTAATCAGCGCTCCCCTTGGGGGTTTTCCTACAGGATGCTAGTTGCCTTGCCAATCAACCCCTCGCACGGAGTGGAGCACAACCACACCCCCAGCGAGGCCTCGGCCAGCTGGGAAAGGTGCTCTGGCCTACACGAGTGGAAGCGGAGACTCAGGTAAAACTCACACGTGAATCCTGCCGGGCCTCAGAGTCCCCATCTCTAAAATGGGCTACACCTCCTCTCTCTTGGCTAGTTCCCTCCCATTTCACGCTAGGCCCCTAGGAAGGGAAATCAGTGCTTAACCGCAGCTTAAAGTCCTTTAGTTTGGCAGCTGTCGCCGCGCCGGGCATGCTCAGTAGCCCGGCCGGCTCGGCAGCAGGAGTAGGAAGCAGTTTTCCGCGCCCGGGCGGCGGACTGCGGGCACTTTGATGAATCACGTGTGCGGAGGCCCTCTTAAAGAGATAGGCACCTACTTTCCCTCCACCCTAAACACCACCCTGAGGGCGGCGGCGGCGGCGACCGTGGTAATTGCAGCCGCTCGGGGGCAGGGCTTGCCCCAGCGCAGAGTAGTGGCAACGGCTTGTCGCGTCGGGAGCCCCGGGGACGTGAACTAGGCAGACCCACTCTCTCCCCCTCCCAGAAGGAGGTGCTGCCAAATCCACGCGGGGCAGCGGGACCGCCCCGAGGGGCTTCCTCAGTCGAGGAGAGGTGGGGTTCCAGGGCACAGGTGACAGGGCCGGAGAAAGATGGAGCAGCCCGGGGCGGCGGCGGCGTTGGGCGCCGGAGGCTGCGGCGAGGAACCCGGTGGGGGCCGAAGCAACAAGCGGAGCGCGGGGAACCGGGCCGCCAACGAAGAGGAAACGAAAAACAAACCTAAATTGGTGAGTGCTCCCGCAGCCCCCGCCGGCCTTGGGGACAGCGAGAGCCCCGGGATCCTCCTGCCGTTGAACACGGGGGGACCCGGGGCCCCCTCCCAAGGGTGACCGCGACCTCGCTGTACAACTCCGGGAGTCGCTAAAGCAGCGGCCACGCCGAGGCGCGGAGACGGCGTGGGGGCGGAAGAGCACCCCCTTCTCCACTTAACCCCATTCTCCCTCTTGGCAGCCCGGGAGGCGGTGCGGGAAGGAGAAAGGCCCCACCCCAACTTGGGGAGACCCCGAGTACCGGGTAGGGGCTGTTGTTTGTCTAACTTGTGGGCGCGAACCTTCTTTACGCGATTCCATTCCCCTCCCACCCTTGTCAGTTGCTGGGTTTTTGCCTCTTAAAGCTTAGGGTTCGGGCAGGGGAACCTAGCTCTTTTTTTCAGTCCCACTACTTGGGAGCCCACCCACAGCCTTACAGAAAAACCCCAAAACAACCAATTAACCAACCGAACAAAAAAATCCCCAAAACAACAACAAAAAACACACAACGTAGGCCCCCAGTCTTTCTACTTGACCAGATAGCTAAGGAAGAGGCGCCTACATGATTTTTTTCCCTTTGCCTCTCCATGTGCTCTTCCAAGAAACATTTCTTTGGAAGAGTGGGGGGAGCGTGGGAGTTAGAGGCTGGCTGAGGTGCCACCAACTGTCCTGTGTGTAATCGTCAGAGTCGTCCAGTACAGTTAGTTGATTAAGAACGCTCAAAAGCAGTAGGCAGACCGCACAAATCTCCCTGTCCTGAGAGTGTGTGCCCCAGTGGGGAGCAGTCCATTTCCTGCCCCTGACTTCATGTGCAGAGGAATGAAATCTATGGGGCCTGGTATTAGATTGAGAAATACTGGAGTGTCTTCAACTCATCAGTTAAAACGGTTCCTCTTTTTTTTTTCCCCCTTCAGCTTATAGGAAAATGGTTTAATAATAGTGAAACTTAAAAACAGGTCAAATTCTTACAGTATATTGGCCAAAGACTATTTTTGCCAGCCCTGTCAAATATTAGGCAGACGTTTATCAATAAACTTTCTAATTTGGGTGGCAGAGGGGATATGGTTTTCTAGCACAAATTCAGCAAATACTCTGTCTGAAGTTTCTTCGTTTAGGTCTGGAGCACAAGCCCCATGTTGCATATCTAGTTTTGTGTTTTAACCAGCAACTTGATTATAATAAGGAAGGAGGCAGTGACGTATAACTATAGCCTTTTCTTAGGGTATCTGGCCATTTGGTATGTACCTGTTGTGCTTCTCTCCCTTGCCTGCTGTTTACCTTTCAATTATGAACTGTCCAGATTGGAAAACAGTGACCGAAGTGTTATCGTTACAGGAAATATGTAGCCTTCCATTATGTGGAAAGGGACCTAGTGGGGTAGAATAAAACAACCAGTCTAAAGTCTCATCAATTCCACCCTAACTTGAGGCAAATTAAGAATTACTTGATGTGTCCTCTTATCCCCCCCCCCCCAAGTATTTACAAGTGAAAGAACTGAGTCACAAGCTCTTTGTGAATTGTCTATACTGGCAGGGGGTTAATGGGATTCATGGGTGCCCCTATTATAAAACTTAGAAAAGTTTTGCGAGTGTATTACCAAAGTTTAATGTATTTAAAAATCCTGATGTTGAAATTTTATCAGTTTGCGGTAAAAGAGTGATCATGTTTCTTTCTTTTTTCTTTTTGGATCCAGTACAAAACTGGTTTAAACAGTGATTAAAAGTTTAAACAAAAGTAAAAGCGAACTGATAGTTTCCACAAAGAGTTGGTACATCTAGCAAGAACCTTCCACTTTTAGGATGTGTGAGCTCAAGAAAAAGCACTTATCTCTGTCTGTTAGTAATAACACCTTGATTCTATTTTTCCCATCCTTTTGGTCATTTGTCCTGTTTCATCTTTTATGCTTTGACAGGGTAACTAGATAGTTATGAGATGGTATCACTTTCAGTTCCTAGCTAACACTATTTGGTGTTGAGTATAGCTTGATATAGTAGAACAAGTATTTGAATCCAAGAGTTTGTGAATATCAATGGGAAATTGCTTTTGTACTCAAAATAATTTTTGAGCCTTACATGATTTTACAAGCAGATATGTCAGAGTTTATAAACATAAATTTAGGAAGACATTTCAGCACATTTTGAGGCAAGAAAGTTGACCAAATAAGACTTGGAAAACTTTTAAAGTAAATGCCTTACTCCTTATTTTGAGTTGTCTTATTGAAGTGCTCAACATGTTCTAAGGCCATGTAGAGAGGAGTTCATCTGGGATTCTTAATAAATATTGCTGGTAAAATAAAGCTTTACCTAGACTAAATTTTATTATTTTGAGTATTATGTTGTTAACCACTGTAGTAGTCCTTAATTGTGTTTGTGTGTGTGTGTAAAGGAGTTGTGGGGGATTGTAAAAGAGAGCCATGTGGTAGTAGAAATTATTTGTGTAGGTGATTATGGGGGATAAGGGTTCTTAAACTGAAATCATATGAAAAAATTTGAGTGTATGTAGGTACATTCAGTTTTCTGGGCCTCATAGTTTTCATCAGTTTCTCAAAGGCATATGTCTCCTATAGAAGAATAAGAACTTTTGGGTTACCAGAGAGAGAGTAAAGGAAATGCCAGTTGATTCCACTTGAAGAGACTGGCGAGAGGAGGAGGTCACCGACAAGGGAGAAGGGAAATAACACTGACCGCATGAGTGGTAGATATTGAAGATAATGCGTCTGGGAGTAAGCCGTTAATTACACACATCTATATAGTATTAGCTAAAATGAAAGTTTTTACTGCATACAAAATTTAAATTGATAGCTATGGTATAGCGGATGCATACAGTATAAGGCTTGTGATTCAGTTGTTTTCATTTAGTTTCTCATTGTTCTGGGAAACTGGAGAAGGAAGGCATGTTTTCTATGGAGCGGAACTACTTTCATTTATATCCTCAACCTTTTGATGGGTATTAGAATTTTTTCAGAGGGACATTTCAGGACTCTTAACGACTTCTGCTTGAGATTAATTAAATCAATTTGACAAAGCTTACTTCCATTTTCTTAATCTGTGCATCCTCATAATGACCCTTTTATTTTGGTTCTTTTTAATGAAGGCAACCTTGTTTTGGACTCATCACAGTTTGGATAATGCCTTAGTAGTAGAGCTTTGTATTTTATGTAACTATCTGGTTAGGCCCAGATTGTAGCATGTCATCAAACAGCATGAATCTTAATTAGTAATTTGATGTCAACCATGGAATGTATTTTGTCAACTCAAGTAGTACAGAGAGCTCTAGAAGTGTCATGAAGGGGACATCCTAAAGCCCACGTTTTTAAGGCAGTGACTTAACCATTAATAGAGGCAAGTGTTAAGGTAGAACCAGCAGTCCTCACACACATACCATCGTGTAGAGTGGCTTAACATTCTTTGATGTTTTTGCATTTTGACTTTGTGTTTCTGTATAATTCCTGAAGCCTTTGGTTGTTTAGATAGTAGAGTCACATTAGTAACTTGAAATAACAGAAGTTAATGTTCTGGTTCTTACATAACTTCCTGAGTATTTGGTTATTTGTTTTTAGTTGGATAAATCATGTTTTGATTTTAATTGATAAAGGCTGAGCACAGTGTGTTTCTGTATGACACACACTTACTGAGCACGTACTACGTTCTAGGCATTATTCTGAAGATTGGTGATACAAAGGTGCCATTGTCTAGTGGGGGAGACAGGGAAGTTAATTAATGACTACAGAGTGGTGTGATAAGGAACAATGGGAATATGTATTAGCAGGGTGATAATAGAAACATGGAGAGGCATCTGAATCTAATTGGATGCTTGAGTGTGGTAAGGAAAGGCTTACCATAGTAGGTGACATTTGCACCAAGGCTTGAAGAATAAGGCATTAATTGAAGAAGGGGAGGGAAAGGCATTTAAGGGTGAAAGAACAACGAATACAAAGGTAGAGAGACGTGGTAGCATGTCCAGTAAAGAAGCTGTGGATAGATGGTAGTGGCTGAAACAAAGATTCCATATGGTAGACCCGTTAGAAAAGAGAGTGAGTCCAGTTCATGGTGGGTATTTGTATGCCATGTTAAGAGTTTCAGCTTCTTTCTGAAAGCCATACTAAGTCATTGAAAAAATGTTAAGGAGGAGACTGAGCTGATCAGAATTGTGTTTCAGAAAGAAACTTAATACAGTGGAGAATTTCTTGGACAGGGATGCCAGAATGGAGGCAGGAAGACCAGTTAGGAGGAGCAGAATGGCATAAGAATTTGATGTTTAGGGTTAGAAACCTGGATTCCAATTGCAGCACATCCACTCATCCATTTCCTAGCTCATCCATTTACTCGGCATATTTCTCTACATCTCAGTTTCCTCCTGCCGATCCATTGCCTCTCCTTCCTGCTACTCACCCTGAACATCTTCACCAAATTGGAAATGTCCGCCATATTTCTCCTTTATAAATCTAACCTGCCTCTCACAGTCCAGCTGGTGCCTCATAATTCTCTCATTCTTCCATTAAACTTCAGCTTACTGAAGGCTCTTCCTTATTCTGAATTCCTATTGTGGGTCTGAATGTTATATGCTGATCTCATACCTCCAGAAGATTTTAAAGTGCTTCTGGGCAAGGGTCCTGCTTTATGCCTATTCTTGAAAACCTTGCAGACCAGTGCTGGTGTGCAGAGCTACTCAACAAATGATTATTAGCTGGGAATTC